CAAAACCCCAAAACCCCAAAACCCCTTCATTTCATATTTGAGTGTAAGAAAGTCTTATCTAATAAAATTAATCTAATAATTAAGGATTATTCATTACGTTTATAAATTGTGTTTTAGTCACTCAATTTTAATATGCAAAAGCAAGTTACAAATGCAATTTATTAAAATTTGAGTCAATGAATTAAATTTCTACTTCAAATCCCAGGTGATTATCACTAATTATATTTTTAAAGTAGTTAAGTCAAGGAGCTCTTAATGAATTCCATATCATCTTAGATTTTTAGAACTTTACTATCAAGCCCGTCAACTTTATTATCAAGTCTTTTAACTTATACATCAATTTCTTTAGTTTGTCCATCTAATCCATTCACCTTGGTATCTAGTCCATTTACATCCGATTTTATTAGTTTTAAATCATTATTGCTATTCTCTGAATTTTGATCAAGTTATAATTTTAAATTTGTAATTTTCTCATCTAGACCCTCATTTTTCTTATCATTTTTTAAATTCTGATTTTGAATAGAATTAAGGCTCTGAATGATTTCTCCTTTAGATTTAGCAGCAGTAGTCCTAATTGTGTACTTAAGATCTTTAATAAATCCTTGCCATTCCCCAGTTTCATTATCCTCTGTATTTAATGGTCTTCTGACCACGATATAATTTGGGAAATATTATTTGTTAGTTAAATCATTACTATTGAATAGCTATTCTCTTTCTACAATCATGTTAGCCTTTACTCTATATGATTCTGCAACTAGTTTCTGCATGACTCTTTCATATGATTCTGATATTACAGCGATAATAAAGTTCATAAACACGATATTCAATGTCATGACTGCAACTAACCAGATCATCCAAGTGAAGATAACTAATCCATCATTTTGGCTGTGGTAATCATCAAGTTAGAAGTCACCAGAAGATATTCTGAAGGCCATCAAAAAATATGCCAATTTATTAACGCCATTGTATTCGTCAATTTACTAAGCCTTGAAAAGGACTAAGAAAATCATTCCAAACTGAAGTATAAAAATTAAGAAAAAGATTAGAAAGTACTTCAGGTCCTTGAAAACACCAGCCATCATTTAAACTAAGAAACTGAAGCCATCGTATATTCTCAAAAAGAAAAACAGTTTCATGAAAGATAATATGATAACCAGAATTTTAATTAAGATTAGGTTATCCTGGTTCTCACAAATTAGATCCATAATAAAAAAAGAAGCAAACGCTAGAATGTGAGAAAAGTCAAAGTAATTCCATCCATCATAAAAGTATTCTCTTTTCTAAACCTTGATTTGTTTAATCTCATAAATCAAGAAGTAGATAAGAACAATACTACATATTATTTTTGTGGTAATTCTAATCCATATATTTGGTTGCAAATTTTATGTCTCTTACTCTGGATCAATTGAGCTTTATTCTGATTCATCTTTATTATTTTGTGTTGCATATGCTGAATAAAAAATATCGAATATAAAGGAAGCCATGAAAATCAAGTAGAAATAGAATCGATTTTTGTAAAATTATTTTGTGTATTCTTTCCATTTGAAATTTATGATAGTTTAGATGGTTTTATTTTCAAAATACTCTGGTCTTTATGTTTCACTCAATACAATCATCAATTATTATGGATTTTAACGCAATGTTACCGGCATATTGATCAAATGGTATTCAATAGATACAATAGAATCATTATCTTATCTTGAGTCATTTAATTACTTACCAAATAATTCATCATATTTTTAATGGACATCTTTAGGATTTTCCAATGTTATTCCTTCTATAAGCTCTTTATTATCTTGATGTTGACTTGGATACGATTGGTCAATAATCTCATAATTAGGGAGATGGCTTTCAAAGTATTCTTACAAGTCAATCTATTGTTTGATTAGCTCGCATAAATTTTTATCGATTAGCTAGTTAAACATGATATGATCTTAGTATTTTATAATCATTGAAAGAATGAGATTAATTATCTTTTACTGACGATTATTGATTGAGAAATCTAGAGGAGATTCTCCAACAATACGATTTTAGCAAATGAGAATAGGTAAGGTTTGTTTTTCTTTCAATGATAGCTATTTAACAATCGTTTCAAGAGCAATTAAATTATTCTGAAAAATTCCAAATACTGTTCCAAATCCAGCAACAAACTTAAAGTATTTATCGACATTTAGTGATAGCTCTTTAATTAATAATTCATTGGACAAGAGAGAAATTGCTCTATATTCATTTATCAATTTATCAGTAATTTCTGTTAAGAAATGCCCAACCATTTGTTCCTCACCCTTTATAAATAATTGAACTTAACTTGAGTCTATGATTATTTTGTCTGCAATCTCAAAGTGGAAAGCTGGGAAAACGGTTTAATTCAATAGTTCCTCATTAAACATATCCTCGAATGAATTAAATGTCATAGTATGAAATTCATCGTCTCTACCCTTATTTTTTTCTTTAAAAACTACGCAAGATTTTGAATTTAGGTCTTTTTAAAACGTGCTCCATATTTCTAGATTCTTAAATTATAGGGATTATTTAATTCTTATAATTTTGTCTACAATTTAATTCTTGAAAAATAAAATAATTGTGCCTTCTTATTTAGAATTAATTTGCACATAGTTATTTTTAATAAAGACTGAATTATTAGACAATTCAGCAGGTATTTCTTTAATAATCTTTTTACTTTTAAGACTAAAAATTCTTACTTCATTGTAATATTTTGCCATTAAAATGCCGTTAATATCATCTAGAATTGCGAATTCAAGTTGGTAATGATTAAAGTCAACCTCTTCAATCAAATCAATTGATTCAAATTTTTAGTTTAATTTATCAAAATATACTATTTTACTCCTTGTAGCTTAATCAAAGATATATTGCTTTTCATAAGTATTATTATACATAACGCAAAATGTATCAGTATCCTCAAATCTGAATTGAGATTTTTATCTGAAACCTACCCAATTGACCTATCTATTTCCATTAAGATAAATGTAAGATTAATGATCATTCATATTCATTAGAGTATCATCAGAAGCTATTTCATTTACATTATCAAAATCAATAAATTAATGCTCTGATTATATAATTTCATGAAATTGTTCAGAAGCAAAGATTTCATCGCTGTATTTAAGATGATTTTTAGTATTTTCATAGTATTCTTCTGATATTTCTTTCCTTAATCCAGTTTTAAAGTCTAATATTACTAAATTCTAATCTTGCTCATTAGAGTAAATTAAATAGTTTTTAATCACTACTTAAATATCTTTATATTTTAATTGCTATCTTTGCTTTTATATAGGAGTGATATTATAATATGCTCTTAAGTTTGTGTTATAGTTGAAATAACATATCTTATCTTGATCTATATAATACACCCTATTATTTATTGTGTCTATTTAAATTTAATCCCTTGAATTATTTGTGATTTCATTAAGTTAATTAATTAGCGAAAAGTTCATAGAATCAAAGACGAGAATATCATTTCTAATTGTTTTAATAATAAATTTGTTTGAGCTAGTTCAAATCTCAGATATCTACTAATTACATGAATGATAAATTGTTTTCTTTTTCTTTAGATTTAAACCTTGTGATATGTCATAGTCGTAAATATTGAAATCCTCGTCTAATACAAACTCATATAAGTCAAAATACTTAATTGAGTAATGCTATTTATCAAGCTATTTAACTATTTAAAGCGAATTTCTATCCACAACTATTGTTTGATCATCATTATAAAAAATTAAGTGATTTTTGAGTATGTAACAATCAGAAGAAAAAGTATCTCCTAAACGATAAAACTGATAGAAACTTTAAGTTTCATGCTTTATAAACAATTTTTGATTTTAAGTAGCTAATTCTTCTTTGTACTAATTATTCGTTACTTTGCTAATTTCATATTTAATTTTCTTGGCTTAATCAATTTCACTTAGAGAACTATCCTCTATTTTAAACAAATAGACAAGTTCGTCATAAAAGATCATTATATTGAATTCATCTATTATTTATACATTATAGAAGTATTCAAATCTCATGAAATCGAATTCAATCAAATGATTATCCTCGTTTTGCCATATAAAATCATCAAGTTTCATCAAATATATAAATTAACCATGTTACTGGAAAATATAATCATCATCATTGAAGTGTATGTGAAAGATGACTAAATGGAAAGTTGCATTTTTAATAGAAACAGTTTTAATTAACTCTAGTGCTGTAAAATCAAAGAAATCTACAGATCTATTGTTATAATCTTCTTCATTATAATAATATTCAACAAAGAGCAAGTTTCTATTAAGAATCAACTTTATTTGCCTTATTGTGATTTCTCCTTCCTCTTTTTCAAATTTAAATCTAATATTCTTGATTCTTTCCTCTTCCTTAGAGTAATCTACTTCTTTAAAATTATCGCAAATCCATTAATACTCCTTAGGTAAGAGTTATTTGCTTTTTTTATCATCATCTTATTATAAGGAATTTTATTCCTCCCATAGTAAT